ATTGTTTTGAATAAATGTATTGTTCCATTCTCTGTCTGCAATAATTGATGCAAAAAGCAACTAATAATGTCGAACAATCATTCGAAATAATATATCTGTCAACCCCTATAATGCTCAAGTATTTTCTTCTCGAAACAAAAATGCATGAAGAAGATAACATTTACCTGTGGTGGTGTACTGTCTTTGTTCTTCAAGAAAACATCGCATAGGGGCTGCTGACGTCGCTGGTAGACGTAAGCAAATCGCAGCACATCATTAGTGTTTGCAGAGGCTAGCGAGAGGAAGGCTTCATTTCCTGTGGCGAAGGACTCTTCCTCACCAGTGATGAGTAGAATGCAATATCTGTGGAAAAGACATCGCAGACTATTGGAAAAGACCCTTTAATATGTTGAATCGGATTAACTCCACTGATTTTTACAAGGCCATCTTACTTCCTGCGACGATGGAACTGTTTGACAGGGCAAAGCTCATCAAATAGCTTCTGGTTCACCAGACGAGGAGCCAGGAGGAACTTGTTGTTGGAGATGAACTCATCTATTATTTGCTTCTTCATCCCTTTAGCCTGAGGGAGCAAATGTTTAATTGAAAGTCAAAAGGTAAACATATTTATATCTTCTCAAACATCTCAAACAAAAAAAGATGTTGCTGAAGCCCCAACCTGGGGTGCGTTTCCAGTACAACGATGTAACTCACTGATTTGACCACCATAGTACAATGCATTGTTGTGGAAACTAACTAGCTAGTCACGACTATTTCCCGAACACTGCTGCATCTCCATCGTTTGAACAACATTAGTTCAACAATATAGGGCCATTGTTAATGACGTCACCGACACGCATGTGGTGGAGTAATAACTTCTGCTGTTTAACTGATTGGAGATCTCTTAAGGTGCTGCTGTATTGAACATGGCACCTGATGACTAATTTACTTTTTCTTTGTTCCGTGTCATTTTGCTTTTTTGAATGTCTGATTAATCACGGGTTCCCTCTTACATAATCCTCTGGGGTTCCCTTAGGCATTTATGCACAGGCACACTCTTCACTCTGTCTGCACTTATTGAGGATGCGCAAAAAACATAGATTAAAATGCAATTATATTTAGATAGAATGAAAATATAGGTTGTACTGCATGTTAGCTTGCTTATTGTGCCCAAGAGAATAATTTATTTTAACCCATATGTCTCATTAACAAGAAACTATGCTTCTAACCACAGGTCAAGAGCTGTAGTTTCAACCACGCAAGTTTGCGACGCTGTTTGCGAATGTTCGTGTGAACGCTAGTTACGCAGGTAACTGTGGTTCTGTGAATTCCGGATGACCGCCAGAGGCAGTGTAAACACTATGGATTATCGCAGCACCAGCTAGAT